TCAAGGGACAGAACCAATATCAAAGCTTCGCAAGTTATTGCATTACATATGTAAAAATTAAACATTGAATATCGACTTTTCTGGCTCTGCTCCAAATGAAAAAATCAATTGGCAACCGTGAGCCGTATCAAGATCGTAAAGGGTTAAGTTACGAGTGGAAACGAGAAGGAACGAGTATATAAAGATAACAGGAGCAAACAAAATCCATTTGGTTTCGAAGACCGTTTCGCTGGTTTGGCTAGAATGTTATTTTCAGGTGTGGTGGGTACGTGTTGTCGGCGTGGCAAGGTCGACGATTGAGATTCACGTTAATTAGCTGATCCTGCAAGGTGATCGGAATGCGGCGACGCTTAATGATGTCCCCCGCGTTGCACTTTCGAAAAATTAATAATCGGTTGCGCGTCGCATTCGGGAATGAATGGAGATGAACAGTGCGTGGCGTGGTGCCGATGAAGAGGCGGCTTGATTGTTTATTGTAATTAACTTGCGCTGTGAATGAGAGGATGTGACGAGACCGGTCAAATTATATAGTAATTGGGATCTTGCGCGCTGCACCCGCTTTTCTCTTTGATTATCTTGTTACACGGTGTCCTGTACACTTCGTTTATCTAACACCAATCGTCGAGTGATTCTCGATAACAGAGGAAAGGTAGAATTCTTTTTATTTATGTTTATGGAAAATTAATAATTTTATTCGAAATCTGTAGATCGGTTCGACTCTTTTTCGGTTCTCTTAAAGCAAATATCATTTCCATTATCTTAGAAAGTCATCGTTATAAGTCACCTTATTTTCAAGACTTATAATAAAATGTATTCACTATTTTCTAATTCTAGCAACTTTAAATATTATTACCTCAAACACTCATCGAGACGAACATCTCACTTTTGAAATGTAGAATAAACAGTTCAAAATAAAATGTAGTATTTATTATCATTTCCAAGCATCATTCCAAAAACACATTTCAACAATCTAGATCATGCTTTCAAACTTCAAAATAAACAATTTCTAATCAAGTATACATGATGGACTACATTCCATTTTATAAAATCTTTCATTCAGTTCGACTCATTCATCAAGTTTACATTTTTTACTGACATTGTATACGTAGCTGTTTGCAACACGTTTCCGTTGCTAGAACTCGTTCCGCAGTGGAACAATCGAGTGAGAAGCCCGCCATGACTGGTCAGGAATTCGTTTCACCCGGCTTTCCTGGAAAATCTATAGGCCCGCGAGGCTTTCGTCTAGCACTAATAAAAAGCCTTCAAGTCTATATATAGAGAAAGGGAAGTGGGGAAACTCCGGCGGAAAAGTTCACGTCGTGACCCGCATTCCCTGTTCTTCTTCGTCGTGAGACACCGACGAGTTCAGTGTGCCGGGTTAGGTTCTGGGATCGCGCGAAATCGCAGTCAAGGTTCCGCGGTACGCGAATCGGGCAGCTTCGTGGGTAGTTTCTACACAATGAGGGATCAGATAGCGGCTCGTAAAAATATAGTAATGGCCTGTTGCGGGAGGATGTGTCAAAACATTTTCATTCGCACATAATTAATACGCGGGTCCGCGAACAGGACATTTTAGCTGGCTAAAAATCGTCGGCCATGTGTCGCTGTCATGCACACTGGCGTATTTGCCCGATTGAGCGGCCAAAATTACAAAAGGTTTATATCGACTTTTTGCAAGAAAATATGAGAATGGAATATAATGATATGCAATAATATGCCATTACATGGTATATAATAATAAATTTATTAATATGAACTATATATAATTTTATATATATATATATATATATATTTATATATCATACATGATGTAATATAGGATAATATAATATATAATAAATAATATATAATCAATAATCGTTACTAGAACTGTTCGTGTGTATCCTGGAAAATAGAGCATGCGAAGGAGGTGATCGCGACATGTGTTACTATCATTGGATCAATCAAAATTAATGTAAATTTTTCATGAATGTTTATGAAAATTGGTATTCGTTGATTTGATGGGTTTTGTAAATTGATCTTTTAAGAGATGGATGTAATAATATTGTTAGTCGATAAGGAGAGTAGAAGAAGGGTGCATGGAAGTTCGAAATTAACACTGGAATTACTGGGCAGTTACAGTGATCCTTTTTGATCTTCTTATAGAATTTATAAAATGATTCTTATAAAAATACACTTTCTTCGATATCTGACACGTTCCTGATGGAACGATTTCTTGCAAAAATTTCTTTCCGTTATCAGCAGTTACGAAATAAAACGTCTGAGACAGTTCATTCCGATTCGTCTGGGAGCTCTGTCAATGAATTAATCATGCAACTGTTGAATAACTGTTAACGCGATCAGGTCGCCGAGATAATTAATCGAGCTATAGTATCTAAAATCGGAAGCTCCAAATGGATAATTTGTTAAAATTTAAATTATTTAAATAACCATACATAGTTATTTATAATATTCAAGCTTTCCTCTTTTACAGCATTTAAGACTTCGATATAAAATTCAGTTTTTCATAGACTTTTCATAGAAGTTTAAGAAATTCTCTAAATTCTGCAATTCTGATAAAAATTCTTTTAAATGCATAATGCAAACATATCAACGTTAATCCTTTGCAGTCGACAGGTGACTCTCAGTCACCACTTAATTTGTCGTAGAAAGATTATAGAGTCATGCATAATATTAAGCTTTGTGTAATGCATCCATATGTGAAATATTGTAGTACAATAACTTTGTTTCTTGATTCATGTATGTTTCCTCATTGGTCGATTTCAAAGAGAACGTCGTCTGTATCTTATTGGAAAACGTCGAATATTTCTAGTGGGAAACTGTCGAGTGCAAAGGGTTATAATTCAAGCTAATTTACTCTTGCACTCTTACATGGGCGGCGACCTTAAAACGATCGTCCGATCGAACAAACGAGAATTCTAGTCCGTGAACCAAGTCCTTTAGCACGGATTTCGAACACATATTTACGAACAGTTACGTCAGCCTTCGCCACGCGTGAATGTACAGCAGCTAGAGAAACAATGCCGGTTTTCAAGGAATCTGGCCCGATTCCGAAGGCTCTCCCGTCAGTCGAGCGAGAGGCCAGAAAAGAAATTGGAATAATGTAACCGGACACTTTATAATATTGCGCGACTGTAAACCGGCCGACGCGACACGACACGACACTCGATTGTCCAACATTTCTTCGGGATCGTTTTCGGCGAGTCTCGCGCGTTGCGTAATTTCCTACCGGACGGACTGTATACTCGACCCGATTTTTCGGAACAGGAATCAGATGTCTACATCGCGTGAATAGAACGATTCGTGTGGATAATGGCCATTGCACAATCCTCGTGATCCTTGAGAGGTATATTTGAAGGTGAATGGTTCGAAGAAGTGGTACAATTTAAATGATTGTGGGGGGTAGATGTTGAAAGATGGTTTTTCAATTGTCATTGAAAAGTTTTTAGAAATGAGACATAGAAATTGTAGTTTTTCAAAAATTGCACTTTCAATGAGATAATTAACAATGAATGTCTTGGAATTTTTTAATATCTTTTAGTTCAAGTTTTTAATGACCCCGATATATTACGTCGAAATTTTGAAATCAATGTTTGCCTAGGTAGTGCGGATGTGTATAGAGAGTTGTTAATCATGATACATCTAGCATGCATGATTGACAAGATAAATCGTTCGATGTCGTTTTAGACGTACACGTATAATTGAATTAGTATGGAGTGAATTTTTAATGCTGCTTAAAATTATGAATATACTTAGAGAACAGATAAGAAAGTCTGATTTTTAAAACGTATAAGTAACCCTTTCGAATATTAGCATTTATTCAACATTAAAATAATTAGTACAAAGATTTGAATAAAAACCTTGGAAATCTGTTATTTCGATTTATACTGAATCGAAATCATTAGCAATCGGGATGAATTCATTAATTTCCATTTTTACAAATCAGCTTGTAAAACTGCGAATTAGCATAAACGTCTGCAGTCTAATTATTGGAAACCAGTTCGATGTCCTTTGCGAGATTTAGTTCTAAAATAAAAATGTCGCCGTCTCGAGCGAACACGGACGCCAAGTTTCAGGACTCGTGTGGATAAAAATTTTTTCGACGGTTCTCAGGTGTAAGCGTCGATCGTAAATTTTATGATAGGACCCAGACATCTAAATATTTTATTATTACGTACTAACTGATCTTCGCCCAGAGAACTTAGGGTTCGTTTCGGTCTATCCTTGTATGTTATAAAATTTATTACATGTTATGTACTCCTTGACACAATGCGTTGTACATAACATATACAATCGATAAATTATTCCCATGATAAGAACGACGTCTATGAGATTTTAAACATTTCCTTGTTCCTTTCAGACCTCTTATTTTTTACAGCCTCTTTTTTCCTAATATGTTTAGCGACTATAATGTTTGCCATCTTTTCAATTATAAAATGTATAACCTTCAACTTCCCATATAATTAACACATTGTTAATAATATGTTTCTATTCAGAAAAGTGTAACTATTTTACTAGATCAAACATTTTATTGAACTGATATTATTTCAGTGAACGGTACTTTGTTATATCAATGTTCATGGACTGTAAAATAGAAAATGTATTTAATAAAACTGAAATGGAAGATGATAAATGACGTCTGGCAGATGTCAATAGTGTGTTGATTCTTATGTTCAACTTTCACGCAGCGTATGCATAAAATTTAATGCAGAATTTCTTAGTGGAATTTGCGTAAAACTGAAATTCTACTACAAGATCAAACGGTTATCTGCATTTCGAAGGTTGAAGGGACTGGTGAGGGCGAGAACCTCGCCATAAAGAATAAACAGACGTTTGTTTAAAAAACATTTATAAAATCAATTTATTTCATGAATAGCGTAGTTACTACGGTAGAAGGAGAACGTGTTTTGGTACGGCGCTCGTCATGATGTCTTTTGCGATGCTGCGGGGGCGGTTAGGTGAGGAGAGTGGGGTATGTGTGGCTAAGGGGGAAAATTCATCTAGTAGCTGTGTCCATAGCCGTGTCCCTTAACAAGGACGGGAACCGTTTCCTTAACGACAACAGGATGTGGAACCGCGACTGGAACTGGGTGAGGAACCGCGACTGGGACGGGCTGAGGTACGGCTACCTGAAAACGAAAAGAAAAAATAGTGATTAAATGTTTGTACATGTAATGCACGTTTGTAAGTGTACCCATATCTAACCTAAGATTATACAGACGTAAGTAATTAATACTTAATATGAAAATTTTGATATAAGTATTATATATAAAATATTTAATATGAATATTTTGATATAAGTGTTATGTATAAAATACTTATAATATAATATTTATATTTACATACAAGCTGGTTCTTATAGCCTTATTTAATTAGTTATTGGTACACATACCTCACCACGGTAATCGATTCTCCAGCTGTCTCAGTTCATTCAATTTAACAATCGACAGCAATAATTAAATTCAACGTGCACTGATTGAGAAATGAACGACAAAACATGGCAAATAATGAAATCCGAACACAATTATCTCCCTGTGTACAGGATTATCGTTTGAAGAATTTTATCGCGCAAAAATGGAGCGTAATCCGAGCTTCGAATAAACAGAAACAGAACTCTCCAGCAGAATTTAATGATCCACTGGTCAGCGGCCAATATAATGCGAAACCAGTAGGAATTGATAAAGATGATCAAAAAGAAACTTGATAGAACTCGCGTTATGGTTGCTAGTTCCGTATAGAAAATGATTGCTTTAATTAAAAGTCACCCCTATGTATGTGTTCTTTCTTATCGATAATATCGATTCCCATTGATTCGTATTAGAGATCGAGAGAAGATACGTTTATACTTACTCGGAGTCTAATGTCATCGCTTCGAAATTCGCGAAGGAATGTTCTCACGATGCGATTGAAATTAATCCGTTTCCGTCCGGACTCTAATTGCACAACTAACCGTATTACCATAATCAAAACATGTATGACCGATTAAATATAGATATCTAATCTATCGAGTTACTTAGAGTTCATCTTGATTTAAATATCCATTATACTTCTTCACTACGAACCAATTACGGAACTTCAAAACTTAAGGCGCTCTATATATTAATCAAATTCGAAACAATACAGGCCGCGGATCATTCCGCTTGCAGATGCAAGTGAGTCAATGCTAGGTTTACGCACATTCACTGTACAGTTTATTCCACCGGTTTCAGAGAAATTGATATTCGTTCATTAAGATTTTGGAAATGGAGGTTTAGAAGTAGACAGTTAGGATACATATTTGTTGCGTCAATGAAAATCGTTTCAAGTATTTACCAAATAATGTTTATAACAGTCAATATAAGTTAAATTGGCTCGTTCAGTAAATCCGGTGTTAATACAGTGAGACAGAGACCGCGGTTTCGATCGGGCACGATAAAAGAGGTTATCGCGATCGAAATCAGCGTGGGCCACGACTAATTAACGGAATCACGAGCAAAATCGGGAGTATCGATCGATTCGGCTTACCTTGACGGGGTATGGAGCGGGCACGGGCACGGGCACCTTAACTGGAACCGTGACTGGGACCGGCCTATCGACTGGAACATGGACGGTCTGGGTCTGGACCACTGGGTATGGTCTGGGTACCTCCACTGGTACCGGGTACGGTTGCGGGACAGCTACTGGCACCTGAAAATGGTAATGCACCGTGATTTTGTATTCATATTTCTGTAGAAACGTTCAATTAACACGCTAATTGCCACGCGAGACTTCAGCGTTTTATGTATCACTTATTCCATTGTAGCAAAAATAAAAAGCAACAATTATCAATTAGTTGGCACATAATTATTAGGATACACTGTGATCCAGTTATTTACATTATTAAACATTTTCATTCAACGACAGTTATCTTACGAATTACAATCGTTTTCAAGTAATTTGGAAGCTCCGGTCATCGGTAACCTTTTGCTCTGTGATTTATTTCTCAACTATGATTGATATAATTATATTGCCATTAATAATTTGTTCGGAAGGAAGTGAGATTCTAGAAAATTTTGTTCTGCACAATGCATGAATGCATATAAACTGAAAGCTAAATATAACTTAATTATGGCTCAGCAGTAATTATCGATATGAGATCTACAATAAATGTATTCATGTATGTGTTATTTATACGAGGTACAATCTCGGAAAAGAAATCAATAAGAATCGATATGTTTCAGTGCTCTATCTCCGATTTACTATACATTTAATATCCTTCACTGCGAGAAATTAAAATTGAAATAAAATTAAATAGGAAATTGAATGCATTATTATATATCGTTTAATCGCCTTTTTGCGCGTAGAACGCGCTAGGTCGACGAGAAATCGTAATGAAAGAGAAATTTGTATTAAGGACCCGCTTCAACACCGAACAAAATAAACATTATTCTCAAAACTAATCGTTTTCCTAAGTGCATTCAATTTTAAAGAATTGCGGGAAAATCACCGGAAAAATTACGCGTTTATTTAAGTGTTAAACCGCTATTCCCAAATTGCGCCGATCAAAATAAAGAAACACAAACTCAATGAGAAGAGTTCGGAGTATATATTATACAACACTATGTAATAATATCATACGTCCCGACTCTTATTAACCTTTAACTATGGAACTTCGAAAATTATCGATTAATGGTAAATATTCTCGCTACTAACAACCATTAAAAATCTCTGAGACCGCACGTCTATATTTAAAGGTTGATTTCCGTCTGAAGTGTTCCACCGAACGCCACGTGTTGTCTGTGCACGTATCGATTATTCAATTTCCAGTGTTTATGAAATTCCTTAATGGAAACACGGTTTCAGGTGGCTTTTACGACTTCGAACGCAAATGGAGTTGCTCAACGGCCCCGGCACATTGGGTTTCTCACCGTGAACCGACTTGATCGGCCGTTCCAAGATTCATGGAAACCTCGTGGATCACGGAACAGGGAGGGTAGAGAGAAAAAAATGGCGTTGAGAGTTAATAGAGCGTGAAGGGTTTAGTAACAACGCGCTCGAGGTAAGTTTCACGCGGATTTTTCTCACCTTAACCGGGACTGGTCGGTCGACAGCGACTGGGTACGGTTTCGGAACCGCAACTGGAACGGCAACAGCTTTTTCCTGAACGGCGACCGCGACATGACCGTGTCCGCCGAGATCACCACCGAGCAGGCCGCTTCCCAATCCGAGTCCATAACCACCGTAACCCAGGTCCAGCAGGCCGCGCTTCTGGACCGCCTTGTCCTCGGCGAACGCCATGGAGATCAACATTATGCATACCTTCGAGGGAGAAACAATTAATTAAGAGCTTAACATAATTTTCATTTGAACATATCTTATTCATTTTAGAATCGTTCGTTAACACTAGATTTACGGACATTTACTGTACAGTTTATTCTATTGTTTCTGGAAAGATTGATGCTTGTTCGTTTAGATACAGGTTATTTCAACTAATGTTTATAAAATTCAATATAAGCTAGAATGGCTCGTTCCGTGCATCTAGTGTTAAGGAAGCGAGATCTACTTTTGTTCACGCAATTTTTAGATATTAAAAGCTAATGTTTGGCTGAAACACGAGTGACCAAAGGTTGTCTTTAATGAGTGGATTATGATTACTGGTGATTTTTTAACTGATTATTATATCCGTAATGGGTAAGCATGTGTTATGATTCTCAGAATATGTTGAGTAATTGATAGAATAAATTTAGTTTGGTAGATTGAAATTCGGAGTTCGAGTTTCGAAGATTATTTTCTGGCTTTTCACAATGAACTTTGTAGGTACAAAGCACTCCTTGTCTGATCATCAAACGATTCATTGTTTATTGAAGATTTTAAATACGTCAACTTTGGATTTTCAAGAAGTTCCACGGTAAAAATCAGAGATTAGCTAACCGTGTCACTCGAATCACAACGAGAATCGCAAGTAAAGCTTCTCCGTTCCATTTAACATTTATTCCCGTACCACTCGTCTCATTTACATATCCCAAAGAGCGATATCTCTCAACGGCCTCGTCTCCCCAAAGGACCCGTACAAAAGATTCCCGAAATACATCACAAATTACTTTACAACACGCCCCGAAAGTTTCCAAAACTTCAATTCCCAAACTCATCGAGACTGGCATACTCGTCAAGAGCATAAACACGGTAACATAATTGCTCGAAAGCAATTGCAAGCGTTACAATGAAACAATTCACAAAAGCTTCTTTCGAAAGAGATCTCCGAGCCCAATGAAGTTCGAAGAACCGGCGATTTACTCGAAGCTTCTTTTGAAAAACCGCGTTACTCGAGTGAACCACGTACCAGTGCCCTCATCTTGACCGCGCGGCTAATACTTTGGCTGGCGTGTGTCTTGAGTTGGTAAATTAAATTGGTTCTGTCGCATTGGAGTAAAACCACCCTTTATATAGGGAATTGACTTTCATTTCGCGCGTGCACCCCGCCAACGGGAAGCCAATGGCCGCTCGGTGTTCCATCGCCACACCTACCGTACGCTTATTTACCCGCGGCCCGCGCGCGCGCGCGCGCTCGCTCCGGTATCGATACATACGCGGCCGGCCGATTCCGTCACACATTATAATACATAATGTGCACGATGCGATGTTGTATAACACGTTAAACGTGCGCGGAGGCCGGGGCCCGGGTAAATAGAGCGCGGGCCGCTTTATGCAGATACATGGCGCGCGCGCGCGCGTATGTGCGGCGCGGCGGGACCGTGCATTTCGAGCCGGCTCGCGGCACTTTAACGAGGATCGATCCGTTCGACGGTATTTCGAGAGGAGCGGACCCGGTCGTGAGATTCTGACGGAGACACCGTGTGCCCGGCACCGATCCGCGCGCGACAAGACGGATCTATCGGTTCACACCCTGGGAAACGATTGACGAACGGTATCCCGCAGTACGCTCCGCGACCAGCGTCTGTTTTGTTGAAGTATTTTGTCGTTGTATTTGCAACGGTCTCTTTGCGAGCATCCCTTTGTGGCTATGAACGTCTTCGATATTAGTTGCTTGTTCGCTGGAGGAGTTCTTGTTGTTGGTAGTATTATTCTGTGGGTTCCGTTTGATTGTATATGTTTGTTGGTGTATGTATGCTCTTCGTGGTTTGTAAAGTTTCCGATGGTACTCTTCGTTTATTTGTTACATGACCTTTTGTTGTTGGTTGGTAGGATCGCGAATTTTTGTGCTTTCTATTTCATTATATGCGTTTGTTGGTGCATGTATATTCTTTGCGGTTTGTAACGTCTTCGATGGTATTCGGTTGTTTGCTGCGTGGTCTATTGTTGTTGTTCGATTGGTAGGATTGAATATCTCTGTAGTTTTTGTTGAATCGTATAAGTTTCTTAGTGTTGCTACGATTTATTTGTTCAATAGCTATGTCGGATCATTACGTTGGCTACTGTGCACTTTGGCCCTTGTGATGTGGTTGTATTATACTGTCATTTATCTCCTTGTGCAACATGATTTAGTATTTATGTAAGTTAAAGAAATATAATAATTTACTATTGCAAATATATTCAGAGAATGTAGATGAACGGTGAACGAGGGTTAACGTGTTTGTAATCTAATGAAGTTTGTAAGTATGGAGGTGATGTTTCGATGCAGGTAAAATAGTTACGTGTAATGCCACAGATACTCAATACAGTTCAGTACTTTTTAATTGGTAGTCTAACCAGTAAATGAACGATATTACACGAAAAATGGAAGAAAAATATAGAACACGATGAAACTGACTGATGTGTCTGTCCATTGCCGGTTACTTCTACTGGGAGAGTGTGTTTCGTGCATAAGCTTCATCCACGGCATAAGAACATGAAGATTTATGAAACCAGCTGTCGTGATCGTCATTCTCTCCAACAGTATCAATCAGTAATGATGAGTAATGATCATTACGGTAATAATGTAATAATCAGTAATAACGAATAACGATGAATGAAAGAGTAATGGCACAATTCAAATTGAATGATAATGTTTCTACGATTACAAATGAGTTTCCAACATTCTCGTTACACTGTCGAAAGAAAATTAAACTAATTACCACAAGCACTTTCATTTCCATTTACTCATAGCACGTCCTACTATGTAATACATGATTTCCAATACCCGAAACATTCAATAAAATTGCGCAAAAGGCGAAAGAAAGCTATCGGGCTCTTAATTGTATCATATCTCACAGTTTACGATGAATAGAGAACAAATTCAATTATTTCCTCTTGCACACCAGAACAAGCGACCCGAATTAATCATTATCCGAGAGTCACAGAAACGAAAAACAGTGGGTCAGAAACCGCGTTACCGGTTCGTGTTCGGTAATGAATGCTTCAAGCCATTATCATTTCATGTAATAGTTCGCAGCTGATCAAACGAGAAGTAATCGACGACCGCAATTAATTCCACAAAGTCGGAGGAGCGTACGCGTAAGAAACCGCGACGGAATTACGCAACGGGACGGATAAAGGTTTCGCGTCGACGTTAACGGAACGGGAAAGCCGGTGGAAATTACGCCCAGAAATCTTTACGAACCAGCTTAGATATTTCCTGATTTCGTTTTCCACTCACCGGCCGATTTTTCGCCGCGCGGCTCTACCGACACCGATCATCTTGTGCTTCCTACAGAATTGATATATTATGCGGAGAACCCTTCCCGGTATTCAGATTCACAAAACTAATCGCATACCTAGATAATTACCCGCTGAATTCTACGAATACGCGAGAGCATTCCTTTGTATCCACTCCAACGATTCAATTCCACTCCGATTTCGTTCTATATTTGTAATTCGCTTCCTTTAACACTGGATTTACGTAACGGACTTTAGATATTGGATTTTATGTTTCTACCGTATATATTGTTTGGTAAGTGTTTACACTGACTCTGTTTAATGCAATTATATGAATACGCATCCGAATTGTGCATCTTTAAATTTTTAATTTTCTGGATTTAAATGAACGAACACTGATTTGTCCAGAAATAATGGAATGATCTGTACAATAAACAAGTGTTTGTAAACCTAGTGTTAACACGGCGTTGAATTGTGATTTGCAAGGTAAATTTATTCCAGATTTCTCTAATAAATTTTCGACGATGATCTACAACCATCGGGCGACACGATCGACCTCGCGGCCTGAAACGAAAGTTTTGACTGAAAGTCTCTTAGGTTCGCGTAACAATACCCACGAATGGAACAACTTCCTGGTGCCATTTTATACACTCGATCATAACATAAATACGTTCAGATATATCCAACACTTTTTTGAGTTATTCGTGTTATGAAACAGTGAAATAATGGCGTTGAATATAAACTGATCAAAAGTTGCTCCTCGTTCGTCACGATTATGTGCATTTGCAACGAATTATCTATAATTAAATTCTTGGAAGTGGAACGTGTTCGTACTTGCACCTGAAAGTATATATAATAACTGTCCAATATAAAAACGAGAAAAGTTTTTCGTGAAAAATCGGTCAATGATCGACCAGGAAGATATTCGACGTGTTCACGCAGTAACATCGCAACGCCTTCAGTCATAATGTATTAGATCATTTGTACCAACAGTCACCCAAATCTCGAACGAGAGACTAGATCCCGTTATTAATCGCGTACGCGTTTTAATGCGATTCGCAGTGCATAAATCATGTTTACTCAAAACTGAGCCGTGTAATTGATCGTTAAACAGTTGCGAATAAAGCGCGATCGATGCAAATCCGGCGGGAGTGAAATGATCGATCAAGTTCGAGCCGGTCCCCCGTATCGATACCGTGAATCGTTATTATATCGTAAAGAACGACTTAATGGGGTGCCTCGAGCGGACCACAGGTTCGGCGATACTTAAATTACATCCTCACTAAATAATAACTGGCAACTTTTTCTTTATGTTGCGTATATTACGCGTTGATAAGTAGAAGATAACATGAAATGAGTCTAATTGGTCAAAAGGGAGACAAGAACTTTCACACGCATTTTTGACATCGAAGAAGTGTCTGTCAATATAATTACATGATAATTAACAGTAGAGCTACCAAAAATTTAATATGATTGATATGCAATCGTTATAAAAATTGTAGCCATGGATTTGTTTCTTAACACTTCTAAGTTATCAATTACGAAATATGGGTACCAATACCAATCATTTTGATTAGGTACAGTAGTTCTAATGTTAATAAATGCATGTGTTAATCAATCATTGTTCCAATGTCTTCCAAGTATCAGTTGTTGATCAATGATATTATCTTGAAGAAATCGTCCTTTTTTGTCGAATGTTCTCCCAAATTGCCTTGTGTTTTAACTGCTAGCAACAAACGTAATCTTGAAATGTAAACAGAACACAAATGTTTTTCAGATTCTGTTGTGTCAGTAAAAATAGAATGTTATTATAAATAAATGAAGATGCTTATTGAAAATGTCTTACAACCTGCAGCAACGAGAGGCAACGAAAAGGTCCTCAATGTTGCTTCAGCGGAGACATAGCTTTACACACCGATCATGGAACTACATAGATAGCTACCTACCCTCGCCGAAAAAGATTTAATACTTTCTCTTCCTCTGCGTATAATTATCTCCATGACTCATAAGAGCAGTTTCGTGACTCGTTAGGCTACAATGCGCGATCGCTGTTCGCGTTTGAAATCGAATTAGTAGCAGCCACCCTGAACGTGCCGCGGGAGACAAAGTGGTTCTGGCTGGGTCTAGCCACCGTGACCAATGTCGAAACCCGACAATTTCATTATCGGCGCTCGTCGCGCGACCATGTTTATCAGACCTGTTCGACCCCAGCCGTCCTTTTCGCCGTTGTTTACCGATTAACGCGTTCGGGACGGATGGAATTTGGATCAAGAGCGAATTCCGCGGTCACTTTCGAAATTACGGTGTTGGCTTTCAAACTAATGCCGCCTTTGGGAACTACAGCACCACTTTGTGGACTACCTGGTGTCACCTCGGGCACAGGAGTATCGAATTGTGAACTACTGTATCGCCTTGAGAGCCACAGCACCGTTTTGGAATTTAGGATATTGTATTGAGAACTACAAGATGTTGCTTTAGGAACTACCGTGTTAGCTTGAGAACTACAGGATGTTGCCCTAGAACTAAAGTATCACTTTGAAAACTAGAGGATGTTGCTTTGAAAATTATAGTATTGTTCGGGGAACTAAGCTAACCTTAAAGACTATTGTGTCATCTTGAGATCAAAAGTATCGCCTTCAGAACTACAGGATATTGCTTTAAGAACTACAGAATTATCTCGAGAATTAGAGGATACTGCTGTAAAAACTATAGTGCCCTCTTGGGAGTTACAGTATCATCTTGCGAACAATGATATGTGGTTTCAGGAATTATAGCATCATCTGGAGAATTAGAGTATCCTTTTAAG